TGAAAGCACTGTCAAGCTGCAAATGGGCAGGCGGGTGCATGTGTGCGGGCAGTAGTTTGACAGGAAGATTCTCACCATCGCTCCCAGGGGTGTTAATAGGCTACGACTTTTTGGTTTTTACCAGCCCCTTCTGGACCAGGCAGCGATAGAATTCCTGAATGTATGTGTACACACACTTCCAATCCGGCTCGCGCATCCGGACCATGTCCTCCACGTCCAGCAACTGCGGACACTCTGCGTGCTTCCTGGGGGAGGGGACGGGAGAGAAGGTGGGGAAGCAAGTGATCACAGCCCAGTTGGAGAGGGGGGAGAGAGGGAGAGAAAACAAGAGAAATATATAAATCTACTTCCCATTCCCCCAGTGCCAGACCAATGCCCCAATCCATTACACATGCTCTGGGAGGGTGTGAGAGGCAGGGGCGGGGCAGCACCGGGCACCGCGGTACTGCACTGCCAGGCCATTCGTTGGTACAGTGAGACTCACAGGGGTTGGGGCTACACAAGCATGGCAGGAGGGAGGGAGGGAGGGGCAGTCACAGGTGCAGGAGCGTGAGGTACAGGCGTGAGGAAGGACAGGAGATGAAGGAAGAAGAGAGGATGGGAGTGAAGTGCTCTGGCGCCAACCAGTGGTTGAGGAGCAGATTCCAGAGCGGAGCGGCTTGCTCTATATAGCCATGTATATAGACAGGGGCTTGGGGTAGGGGAGGGGTGCCCAGACCCTGCTCCCTCCTCGCCTGGCTCTGCTTGGAATCGCACAGCGGCATGGCGGTTGGTGCAGGAAGCTCAGGAGAGGAAGCTCACAAGGGCTGGAGGATGAGGATGGGAGAGGGCCACCTGGCTTCCAGGCTGGAGGGATTGATTGTTCTCATGGTCCACACACCAGTCCCGGTTAAGACAAAAAGACATAAGACTAGGAAGGCAGAAATCCCAGGTGCACAGCCCCAGTGGGTCACTTCCTTGTGACGAGTCTGCACACCCTGCTCACTCCACCCTGTGCAGATCAGACACAGTGCTGGGGCCCAGGGGAATCAGCACAACTTCCAGGCCTGCACTGACATTGGGCACCCAGAATAACATCTCAGGCAAATAGGGCAGCCTTCCTACGCTAAGGTGTGGGGTCAGAGACCCCTCCCCCAGCTGTGGACACCCCAGAAAAACTATCCTGTCTGCTCAGTGAGGGTGCGACCAGTTTGGTGCTGCAGGGAAGGAGGGATGAATGGAAGGAGAGACAGAAGGAAGGAGAGAGGGTCCGACTCCCAGCCCTCCAGCAGGACCCGCTCCCTTCTCTCAACACCCCAGAAAACTAGAAGCAAAAAGGGGGAGCTCAGGAAGCTGCAATTGTGCCACAGCCCCCCAGCTGCAATGGGGTTCCCTACGACCCCACTAATCTTGGCTCAGACTGCTGGAGAGGACTTGGCCTTCCCCATGTTTATGCTCGTGTTAAAGCAGTTAGAAGGGGGACTGTGGCAGAGGAGGGGGCTCCATGCACCCAGAAGTTAGATAGGGAAGCTGGGCACTGCCAGTGCTCACACACTGGCATGGTAGGGAGGCAGCTGTTAGACATGGAGAAGGAGAGCCACAGAAGGCACTCGATCCCTTGCCAGGACCACCCTGGGCTTTGGGGCTCTGATACGCAAGGATTTTCAGAATTATGGGGCTGTAGGGCTTGTGCTGTGAGGTAAGAAGTTTGGCTAGGCATGTCTGCAGAGGGCTGGGTTAGCATCTGAGGGGCCTGCATCAACAGGTACCCCAGGCTGAGGGCCTGTGCCAGTCCCAGCATCAGGGCTACAGGAAAGAGAAGCCAACCCAGAACTGAGGTTTACCCGAGGGTGCTTAGTGCTACCCTGCCCCTGTGCAAGTCCTGCACATGTTCCTGAGGCAGTGGAGTGTGAAGGCTGCTTGCCCACACTCAGGGAGGCACCAGGCCCTTTCCTGTAATCTGTGTTACCTGGTGCTTGGGGTGGATACGTACTCTGCAGAGGAGAAAGCCACCTCAAAGTTGTGGCGGCGGTTCTGAGGTGTCAGCTCGCTGTAGTCAAAGGCCTCAGGGAAGAAGTTGTGGACAAGGGCACAGAAGGCCATGCCATCACTCCAGCTAGAGGAGAAGTTCTGGATGTCTACGTGCTGTGGGGCAGAATGAAGGTCAGTGGGCGCATCTACACATGTGCTTTAATGTGCAGTAACCTATTTTACTGTGCAGTAAAATGTCAAGTAAAAAACTTCAATTACTCTAATGTGCAGTAAAATAGGCTACTGTGCATTAAGCATCAACTAAAAAGCATGCGCTTACGCTACTGCGCATTAGCACAGCCTAATGCAAATTTATTTAGTACCTCACATTTGAGCTACTAAATTTAATGTACATTAGGAAAAGGGTACTAATACATGTGTAGACACATCCAGTGAGAGGCAGCAAGGCCCAGATAGGAGCAATGAGAGGACAGAAGAGAGAGTACTGACCTCATAACCCCGAGTCTTTGCTCTGCACCAGTCCAGCAACATCTGCTTGATGCTGCTGGCATTGGGGACACCAAAGCTGGAAGTGCGCTGCACAGCCACACGGGAGACAGCTGGATTTGAGGCACTGCAGTAAGCAAACACAGGTAAATGTTACTAGAGCATCACAACATCAATTTTCTCCAGCCCTGCCCATCATACTAGCACCCTCACCCTCCACTCTCCTTCTCCAGCTTCTCAATCATGGCCTTCCGCGCCTGTGTGGCTGATGTCTTGGGAAGACTCTGAGCCTTCATCAGCTCCTTCTTCTTCTCTGCCTGGCGCCTCTCCAGTGCAGCTAAACTGCCCTGCCGTGAGGTGGTCTCATCCTCACGGTCAAAGACGCTGAGGGAGAAAGATGAATATAGGCTCATCCAAAGGTAAGAAACCTTTGCACAGTCAGTGTGATCAGCCTCTCTGTGAGGGAACACAAGTCTAGGGGCAAGCTTAGTAACACCCAGAGCTGCAGGTGGAAGTCCTAAAACCCCTCTCAACAGCAGGTCTGGGGACCTCAAGCCTGTAGAGAAGTTGAGATGTTCCCTACTCATGCACCCCATGATGGTGATGATATGGCCTGGAGCTGAACAAGCTTTACTGAGTGGGTTGTAACATCCTAAGCAACAGACAAGCCACAGTATAATGGGATGGCAGAGGGGTTTTACCCCAGGGCACTGCACCTCACTGATCCAGACACATAAGCTCATCATCAGGAACCCAAATGTTGACATACTATGATGACCAATGGAAACGCACAGGAAAGGATGAGGAGCATTAGGTGCTGGACTGCAATGGCAGTGAAGGCTGCTGATGCCAAAGATACTCCAACACCACAGCATGGAAGCCTATGCTACCCCTGGAGCTGACTGAAGGAGACCTGGCCTAAAGGACATGGGGCTGTGTTGCCAAAGCTGAGCTGCCTATCTCCATTCTCCCTGCTAATTGGTGCAGAGTTGGCTGTACTGGTGACTGTGGGGTGTTCTCCTTGGGGGGGTCTGCCCAGTCAGCAGAGCACTACCATGTTGAAGGGCATCACTCACCTGCCCACCTTCTTGGAGGAAGAGCTGTAGGAGGATTTGGTCTGGCGAAATGTGCTCCCATCTGTAGAAACAAATAGGAAAAACTCAGACACCAGCACAGGAGCTGAAGAGGAATGAGCTACCTAGAATAGCTGCAACTATGCCTACCAAGGGCTGAACACCAGCATACAGCAGCTGTGCCTAGAGGCAAAAAGGACTAGAGCAAACAGGGAGTGGTTGTTCCCACAGATGAAGTACCAAAGGGCAGTATCTGTCCCCCAGGGAGGTAAACAGTGTCTACAGGCAGTGGGAGTTTGTACTGAGGCTCAAGGGGATAGAGTTACCAGCACTGGGGGGGGAAGAAGCTCAGGAGCATGGCAAGGGGTTCTTACTCTCTGATCTCTTCACATAGCTTGATTCTACTGTGGTCATACGAGAAGTCTTGCTGCCATCATCTGCAAAGGGAAGAAAAGGCAAGGGAAGTCAGCCGGGGCAGAACAAGGTGGACATAAAAAGTGATTGATCCCAGAGAGCCACAGCGAGGAACTCCACAGTTGCTGCCATAGTACTGAAACCAGGAAAATTCTTGGCAAGACCAGTATAGCCTAGTCTTTGTGAGGATTGAGGAATGACAGGCCACATGTATAGCAGAATCTGGAGAAGGCAGCAGGAGAGAGGCAGGGAGGCCAGGTCAAAAGGCTAGAGATCCAGACAGCAAGAATCTCAGCCCCGCAGCCCAGAGAGAGCAGAAAAGAGGCCGATGCCATTAAGTAAAGAGAGCAGAAAGGCAGAAGGTAGCTATAGCAGCTCCAGCACCAAAGAGCAATACCCAGCTAGATCCAGGCAGGCTGAGGGGCCAGCTGAGGGAAACTATAGAGGGGTTTACATTTCCTTCTGTTCCTGAGAGGAGAGGTGACAAAAAAAGCCCTGAGAATTTGGATCCCAGAGACAGTGATGGGTAGCAGCAATAGGCAGCGGAGTACAGACTGTCACGGACAATGAGGCAGGAGCTGGCTGGAACCCTGACTGGAGAAAGGAGTGGCACTGTTCTAGGATGGGCCCCTCTTGGCTTAGCAGCAGACAGAACCACAGGGTGCAAGCTCTGGGAAATGAGCTGGTTCAGGAAGAAAACCCAGCCCATGTGGCTGATGTTGGCCAGTAGAGAAGCAGGAGAAAGGACAGGTAACGGCAGGGTAGCTCTACACAACTAGCTGCTAGACCTGTCTTCTAAGCAGAGGCCTCATTGGCTCTCCCACTGGCTTATGGCAAGGAACTTGCCTGTCCTTACCTCTGGGCTGTGCTTTCCTAAGTCTTCATGCAGGCCCCTCATTACACAGAGCCACTGCCAACAGTAAGTGAGGCAAGCCCACAAGCATGTAATCCTGGTGCCATGGAGAAGAAGACAGGCACAGCAGAGAGCTTGTACTTTCAAAGCCCAACTGGGGTCAAGAAGTGGGACAACAAGGTATGCTGGCCCAGACTGGCTGATTAACTGCCATGGGATCTGCTGCTGCCAGCTCTCAGAGTGGTTGGGTCCAGAGGAACCCAGGGCATTGCTGAAGGTCTGAACACTGGCTGAGTGGGAGGGCAACAAAGGACAGAGAAGAAAAAGAGTTGAAGGGCAAAGTCTCAGCTTTACAAGATGCCCAGAGGAATAGGCATCAGAGATGGCATGGCAGCTAGAGAGAGGCAGGTCCCTTCACTGAGAAAGAGCCAGTGCATCATGGGCACCAGAGCCAGCTGTGTATTGAGCAGCAATGCTCTCTGCTGACACCATCAAGGGCGCCTTACTGGACTGGATGAGGCGCTCAGTTTTGGTGACGGTGCTGTGGGCCGAGCCATCGGCTGACTGGGTGCTTTGCCTGGTGGTGGTCTCAGTGGCATGGCCTGCCCTCCCTGCCGTGGGCTGGCTCTTCATCTCCTGCAGCCGGTGATCCCGTTCCTTCTCCCGCTGCTCTGGAAATGCACATGCAAGATGGCATCAACATGGGAGCTGAGTATGCAAAGGGGAAGTGGACATGAAGTTACCACAGAGTACTTTAGGGGGCGCTCAGTAGGGCTGTACGAAGCTTCGGGTGATGATTCGATTCGGAGGAGATTCAGCGGCTGAATCTCCAAATCTGAATCGAATCAGGAGACCAAATTGATTCCAAGCTCTCTGAATCTTCAGAAAAGATTTGGAGAGCTTCGATGAGAGTCCCTCCCCGCTACAAAAGGGAGCTGGAGTCCAACTTGGG